ACTTCTAGAATAAATGAGACATTACTCCAGGTATAAATGGCAGACTTTACTCCAAGTATAAGTGGCAAACATTACTCCTAGTATAAATGGCAGACATTATTCCTAATACAAATGGCAGACCTCAAGTGATGAGATGATATACTGCCAGAATATGACTAGCCGCACACAACCAAATACATCAGAAATATCTAATCTCTTGCTAACTTGTCAAGACAAAATAAATTACAATGCACTCATAATTATTTGCTAATTTTCACTTCACAGACACTTAAAGCCACAACCAATTGCTCAATGAATCGGCTGGGGAGGATATTATGGATTGTGAAGTCAATAAACAATAAAACAAGAAAATTATCAACAAAGCTAACCTGGCTGGTGTAGCCAGGTTTTTTGTGGGTCAGGGTATACAGGTTGCTTGCCAGTTATCACTGTGCTGGCCAGATTTCAATGCAAGAAATAAAACTTCTCACTGGCACTTATACCTATCTCTCCATAACTGTAACAATGACAATGCAGCTGTTTAGTTGTCCTCTCTCCAACACAAAAAACTGATTTAAAAATCAAAAAGCATCCAATGGAAAATAAGATCTATAAATTACAAATGACTTTGCAAACTATTACGTAACACATAAATGAAACAACATTTAAACAAAATATGTCAGTCGGTTAAACAGCAATAATCTCATTTTAACAAGTATGAATTTGGTAAAGCACTATTCTATTTCATTTACCACAACCGTATATCTGTTGAAAAAATCTAACCATTATAATCTAACAATGAAAATAATACACGACAGAACATGCCGGTCTCACTAGCTATAGTTTAACACAACCTTTGTACTACATTCAAAAGCTTCACATAAAAATAAAAAATAAAAAACAGGGCATCAACAATAGATGATATGTAAATACAATCAGAATAAAAAGAATATAACCGTCGTGTATAAAAGCTGTTGGCAAATCACGCAAACCGAGCTTCTGGGTAGGCACAATAACAATAAAAAAGTCGGAACATGAACCACACCGAGGACACACACATTATATAATGTACAGGGAAAAGACAAAGTGGCAAACTGTTTAATGTGCTTACTTAACACAGTTGTCTACATTTCCTGACCAGCAGAAGGCTGGGAATTGACCCAGCCTCATAAAACTTCTCTTGAATGTATTGTTTATACTGTTTGAGAAAGAAAGATGGCAAGGGAATCCCACCATATTATGACATTACACAGAACGTAACAAAGCCTAAATAATTTCATATACAATAAATTTAAAGAGCTAAAAAGCACTAAGATCTGTTTCTCACCAGTGGATTCATGCACTGTGCTGAAATTCACTTTGTAAGGAGAGACAGATCACTTATGGAGGCATCAGTGTGCACATTAACCCTACCAGGACCTGAGACGCTAAACCTAACTGCCCCCTTTACTTGAGCTCTTCGACATTAGCGCGAAAAAGCCAACATGATATACAAAAATATTAGTTACATGCAAACAAGTGGCTAGAATAAGATGAAACTTGGAGACATTGTAGACAATAGGTCTACCTTTTATCTAGCGCCAATATTCAACAAAGTGAACACCAGATGTTGCTGTTTGAGGGACAAGCCCTCTTCTCCTACTATCGATCTATTTCTAGATTTATAATTTTCAAGATTTTCCTCATCATTTGAGCGCTCACTGACTGTGTCACTTCAACATATTCTATATGAAATTATGACTTCGCAGAGTCTGAATCAACCAAAGTATCGATCACCTGTTGGACTGTGAAAAGCCTAGACCTACTTCACTTTCCTGTCAAAGTGCTTGGTTCATCAGCCGCTCGTTTCATTGTGAATTTTCGATTTTTTTCATGTTAAACCGCACAAAGTAAATCAAAACACACGTTGGCAGATATCCGCAGTGACTAACCATGTGGTTAGATCACGATTGGTTGGTTATTTTTAGTTTGGGACGTGTTTTATCATGTAGTAAGCAAATTACCAACATTTAGGGACACTAGTGGCAGCTTAGGAAATTCCCGTAACAGCGGAACATCAGTCTAGTAGAGTTAAGGTGTTAAGTAACCCTTTCACTTTGGAAACACTTAATATAAAGGAAGGAACCCACAGTAAAATCCTCAAAAAAATATGTTAATAAAAACTAGGGCTGTACCGAATATTCGCTTCAGAGCCGAATAGTGGACCTAATAACTATTCGGTATTCGGCCGAATAGTTGCCATCCGGCCGAATTTGAATAGTGGTTACCTTACACCTGTTTATGGACTGCTGGAAAATAAACATATCAAGATTTCCCACCTTGGTTCATACTGTCAAGCGTTATCTTTGTCCACCACCTACGAGCGTACCAAGTGAACGTCTGTTTAGTACAGCTGGAAATACCTTCAGTGAGACAAGAAGTTGCCTTATTGCTGACAACGTGAAGTAATTTTTTTTTTTTAAAGCTAATGCCGCTTTCATGGATTAACTAAGATGTCAGTGATAATTTACAAGTTTAATTACTTGTTATAAAACTAAGAATGCTTTCATTCCTAGGTATTAGTTACCACAGACTGACTGACTGAATGATGCAAAACATAAAATGTTTTTAAATGTTTTCTATTCTGTACTACATTTTGTGAAGTAAAATTTCAGCGTACATTTAAAATTATGGATTTTTTTTTTTTTAGATCTATTTTATATACGAAAGTGGAAGAATGGACCTCAGTTTCAATAATGGAAAGACAGAAGTAATGGTGATATCACAGAAAATAATTATTCCTAAATGTGTGATAAAAGTCAGTGGTTTTATTTTGGGACAAGTACAGAAATTTAAGTATCTGGGCACATGGATAACATCAGATGGAAGATGCATTACTGAAATAAGAAACAGAATAGGATATGCAAAAACTGCATTTTATAAAATTAAGAACATCTTAAGCAATATATCTTTGTCATTGAAGGTTAGAAAAAGAATTCTTGCTTGCTACATACATCCAGTTTTAACATATGGCTGTTAGTCCTGGACAATCGATAGGCAGGCAAAACAATTTCTTGAGGGCTCAGAGATGTGGTTTCACAGAAGAATGCTCAAAATACCCTGGACAGCCAAAAAAAAAGCAACCAAGAGGTTTTGATAGAGGCGGGAGCCCGAAGACAACTACTCACAGACATCAGAAGGAGAGGGTCTTCATTTTTCGGCCATGTTATAAGATGAGGGAAAATGGAACATATGGTGACTACTGGAAAGATCTGTGAAAGGAGGGATAGAGGAAGACAACGAGAGAAGATTCATGACAGTCATGTTGCATGGCATGGAGGTGTGTTAGCACATGAACTAAAACATGCTGCAGGAGATCGCAGATTGTGGCGAGGTGTAATCGCCCATGCCAGTCGGCAAAGTACCAGAAGATGATGATTCACTATTCGTATTCGGCCGAATAGTTGGTCCAGCTATTTGTATTCGGCCGAATAGTGGAAATCCCTATTCGGTACAGCCTAATAAAAACACTACCACCTGACACAGTCACTAATCATTTTTTAAAATCTATTAATCTATTTTTTTTTTATGGAGGTGGGGGAGGGGGTATTTACAGGACTACAATAAATATGAATGGTGTGAAACATAATACGGAATACATTTCCGAACCTAACACTGCGACCTCATAAAGCAATTCTGTTCAAAAGATTTCCCCATCCCAAATGCTATTTTTAGTAAATATATTTATACCCAGTCCTCCTAATCACTGTGCAAGTGTACAGACAAAACAAAACAGTTAAGTAACTAGGGATTTAGGGGACACGCCATAGGAGAAAAGTCGGGCAAGCAACATTTACGGGAGGGAAGGAAACAGGTGGTAACTGCGGAGACTGTAGCTTTTTAGAGTGATAAGATTACGAAAATAAACCAATAACTGAAAAATCTGACTAGCAGGCTAAGTAATATATCTGTCTCAAACATGAACCCCTGTGGTCAGATCATCATTTGCTAAACAACAAACTAAAATGTAAAAAAACATATTACAGGGACAAAATGTACATTCAATTAATCTGTGGGCTCTCTCATACTCCTCACACAATAACATCTGGTATACCAAGTAATTTAAAAATATATCAGCATAACTTGGACAAATCTGATAACAACATGTTATATAACCACCGTCTCAGTAAATTAATAATACTTTGTACACTGGAGATAAATACAGGAAATGTCATGTGGGTGATGGATGACAGTTTAGTGACACACATCCAGATGATTCTTCTTCAATATGACAGGGAATGGGGAGTCCCTCAGGGACTGACGAAATCAATAATGAAGGAGGAGATCTCTGGTGGAATGGAGATACAATCAAGCCTGGAGCTGGTCAAACAAGACTGGTTTTAACATTCAGCTACCAGCCCAACACTACCAGCATACACAATTACTTCCCCAGGCAGACTGGATGTTTATGGTCTCTTTCTGAGCGCAGTGAAATCGATTCCTCATAATTATAACTTTTAGTTATTTTCCATTTTTATAGTTATAATTTTCAAGTCTTTCAGTTTTAGAAATTCAGAAATTTTAAAATTAACTATATGATCACCATGGAAGTCTTAAATTAACCAAGTGATCCTTTTGTTTACATAACACTGGACTTCTCACCCTAACTGACACTACTTCCAACAATATTAAGAACAGCCTAAGCAGTGTGTGATAAGTAACTCAGATATTCTTTAAAATCCCTGATGAGGGAAAGCAGAAAGTTATTCTTTCAGTTTTAAAATTTACAGAGATCTAGCCCCTGGATGAACTTATGCACCAAATTTACAACCACTCAACCAAAGAATGAATTTATGGATAAATCAAAGACAGCATTCTTCAAGTTCAAACAAATATATGTGTACTATTTTAAGATGCTTTAAAATTATACACAAACTTACAAACACCCGACCCATGCCTTATGGCTAATATAGGCACACAGCCAGGATCTCATTTTGGTGGACTTGTGCAAAAGAACTTTCAGGGGCACGGCCGATGTGTGTTTACACCTGAGGCATCTGAATATCTGAGTACTCTGAGGATGTGTCGTTGATGGCCATGGGTTTGCGACTGCGTGGTTTGTTGTCGTATGTAAGGTCTGCGTACATGAGGCCGTCCTCCTTCTTTTCACTGAAGGACTGAAACATCAGAACAATCATGTTAGTGGATGCAGTAGAAATAAAGACAAAACTAGAAGTGGTGATGAGGCTAATGATGATACGATCAGACAGCTTTCTACCAAAACCCTCTCCATGTTGCTGTTAACACAAGGCATTCAAAAGTCTTCTTCTTATTTGGTTTGCATGAAATAGGTTGTCTAAATCAGCAATTTTCTCTCTCGACTAACTTTCTCTGTCATTTTTAGTTCATTCAGTGGTCCATAGAGTTTACATGCCACTGTTGTTCTTTCTGGCCAAAAAGTTTGCATCAATGTATCAAATTCGGTGCAGTCCTGGAGTGCACGTCCTATTGTCTGGGGCCCCTTCTGATCTGTCCATAATACAATAGTCGTCTTGTGCTAGGGCTGGTGGTTTCCTGATCGATTTAATGCTGTTTTATCGCATTTTCCCCTGCCAACTGATCAGCCTTCTTATTTCCAGGCACTCCACAATGGGATGGTATCGACTGCATTGCAACTCCTCAATGGCAGCTGAGTTGTGTCAGCAGTGTTTGCAATTCTAGTAGTTTTCCAGACTAGAGTTGCATTTACAAATGATCTCCACTTCTGCTTTTCTGGCTATGGTAGTTCTGCAAACATGTCCAAGCCAGCTCCATCTTTCAACAACAACACACAAAAATCATTGCTCAGTGATTGATTCCATGTCTCTTCCCCCCCCCCCGGCAAGCCAACTGCCGACTGCAATGCATTAAAAACAAACATCATAAAAACTACACTTTAAAACCAAATGACCTTCAGAGCATAAGGCTCAATACATGGATACAACCCCCCCCCCCCCCCCCCCCCCCACAGAAGAACAGAATCAAAGAAATCAACTGCTACTCACATTGTCTAAACTTGGACTTGTGAATTTCTTGTCGGCCACCAAGTCTGGCTGAGAGTGCTGGTAGCTCAAGTTGGTCCTGTTACTGGAGCAAACACAAAAAACTTAGCTCTCTCAAAACTCCAGAAATACATCACTTACAGGGATAACCATGACTTCAATTAAATAGCACAAAGCCTGGGCAGTATCACAAACAATGTGTGTTGCCCAGGCAGCATGATCCCTCCCTTGGCCTGCCTTGTTGAGGCCAAAGGAAAGATAACACCAACATACATAGTACAGAAGCTTTTGGATCAGAAGAGAAAGGCTCTGTCAGTTCATGTGTCGGAGCTTTCCTCTTAGCGCAGCTGCCAACCAAGGCTAAGGAAGGGTTACATAAACAACATATACAGGATACACATTGAACCGACGCGGTGTGGTGGCTAAAGGCAGGCCTGTGGATCCGAAGATCATGGATTCAGGTTCTGACAGAGCTGGACTTAATTCAAAAATGATATTAGCTCCCAGCTTGACTTAGCCTTAAATCGGTACAGGTAAAGTCCCAGGAAGTAAAGGCAGCCAGGTGATACTGACCACATCACCCACAGTGCTGACTAGTCTATAAAATTTAGGTTTAGCCCTATATGTCTGAAGGCGTGGAAACGAGTCCTTTCCTTGACTTGCAGGGTCAACCATCTGAACCTCTTGCAGGGTAAACCTTATGAACCTAACAGAAGAATGAGATAGGTGTTTTAACGCTATTCTGTGTATAATGTTAACACAATAGAATGGGACACAGCCTTATAAATCTACATCATGCATAGAGTTAGATAACAGAATGGAACAGATTTAGACATCTCTATCTTGTCCAAGATAACCGACTTGGAGAGATTTAGACATCTTTATCTTGTAAACGGTCAAGATAACGTAAATGTGAGACATAAGCTAAGAAAGTATACTATGTTTACAGATACATGCACGGTTGGTTGCCTGGTATAACATCTATTTCTTTTCAATAAAATATCTGCTGATAAAAACACACATTGCAATCACTCACTTGTAAGGTTTCTCTGATGGTTCTGAAAAGATACAAGAAAGTAACACGTATATATTATTATAGAAGAATACGGTTAAGTAACACATATGTATTATTACTAGGGCTGTACCGAATAGTGATTTTCATTATTCAGCTGAATACGAATAGCGGGATTAACTATTCGGCCAAACATAAATAGTGTATCATCATCATCAGGTGCTTTGCCAACTGGCATGGAAGATTATGCCTTGCCACAATCTGCAATCGCCTGCAGTACGTATTAGTTCGTGTGCTGACACACTTCCATGCCTTCAACAAGACTGTCAAGAATCCTCTCTAGCTGTCTTCCTCTGTCCCTCCTTCCACAGATCTTTCCAGTGGTCACCACATGTTCCATTTTCCCTCTTCTCATAACATGGCCGAAAAATGATGACTGTCTCCTTTTGAAGTCTGTGATTAGTTGTCTTCGGGCTCCCGCCTCTTTCAAAACCTCTTGGTCGTTTTTTTTGGCTGTCCAGGGTATTTTGAGCAGTGTTCTGTAAAACCACATCTTTGAGGCCTCCAGAAATTGTTTATTTTTAGCACGCTGCGGTTGGCATTTTATGCAGTTTGATACACTTTGAGTGTGAAAGAAGGAAACAAAATTCCTTTCCACAGTGAGGAATAAAAAACAATTTAAACTTTTGAGTATCTTTATGCCTTTTTTAATAACATTACAATTTATAGCAGACTTTTCTTGATTTTCGTCGTGGCCGAATACTGAATAGTTATTAGGTCCACTATTTTGCCCCGAAGCGAATATTCGGACAGCCCTAATTATTACCGAAGCGTACAATAAAGTAACATGTTAGTATTATTACCGAAGGGTACAATAAGGTAATATATTAGTATTATTCCTAAAGGATACAATATAGTAACTAGTATGTATTATTAGTGACATATTTCACTCCCTGATTATTTGTGTGTTCAAAGGTGGTGGAGAAAAGCAAATATTTTGACATCTGAGAAGTGCACAAGTCTGGTCTAGTCTCAGCTGAATCCACTGAAAAGATTTTATTGCAACTAACATTCAAGTCTCCCTTATGGAAAGCCCACAACATATGACTTCAAAGTGAACAACACAAGAGAGACAGGGTAACAAAGAATAGAGACCGGGTGACAGAGAGATAGATAGACAGGCAGAGGTAGAAAAGAGAGAGACAAATAAGAGAGACCGGGTGACAGAGAGATAGATAGACAGGCAGAGGTAGAAAAGAGAGAGACAAATAAGAGAGACCGGGTGACAGAGAGATAGATAGACAGGCAGAGGTAGAAAAGAGAGAGACAAATAAGAGAGACCGGGTGACAGAGAGATAGACAGGCAGAGGTAGAAAAGAGAGAGACAAATAAGAGAGACCGGGTGACAGAGAGATAGATAGACAGGCAGAGGTAGAAAAGAGAGAGACAAATAAGAGAGACTGGTTGACAGAGACAAAGACAGAGAGTGAACGGAAAGAGAGAGACAGAGAGATGAGTGACAAAAATAAAGATAGAGACAGGAAGAGGTAGGGTCACAGAGACATAGAGAGACAGACAGAGAGAGGTAGAAAAGAGAGATAGATAAAGGAGAGAGACAGGGGGACAGTCAGTCAAAAACAGAGAAAGAAAGATTACTAGTAACGAACTCGGGCTCATCTACACACTAGCTGACCTTTCACTGGTGCTTTCTCAGGCTGGTCAACATTGCTTAAGATCAGAGGGGTGTACCGGTGTACAGTTGAATTCATAAAGCTTTTTGCGTTGCATGTTAATCGTTCTTCTGTGAGCAGCTGCCACCCACATTGCGCTCTCACTCGTAAGCAGAATTAGTATTTGTTGGTGGGTATATGACAGCTGTCTAGGATTTCCAGTAGGACATAAGTTTATTCCAGCTGTCAGCGTTGGCAGGCGTGAGAAGGGTAGCATTGCGTGTCTGCAGCAACACAGCATTTTGCTGGCGACTGCAAAATGTTAGGAAGTCTGAAACTACATAATGTAGAATGCACACTCCCGTGGGACCTAGGTTCAGTGTGTGGGGTGGGGGGTTAGGGTCAGTTGTACATGCTATGGGGTCATTAAAAGTGCACACATCCTGTAATATACAGCAAGGTGGTCGCTGGTAAAAACGTATGCGCAATGCAACGTCACAGCAAGCTGAGACGAATGCTGCCACTTAAACTTGCACGTCTCAAAGGTTAAGACACATGAATGAACATCCAATCAAAATGTCCTGGCCCGAATTCACCACTCATAAGTGGTGCGAGTTCTTTACATGTTCCAAAGAAAGAGAAAAAGAGAGAGAGCGGGATCATGTAAAAAACATAGAATAAATATACACCAGAAACACATTTTAATTACTAAAACCCCACCTTCGATTGGCTTCTTGGACTGTCGTCGTCTCCACAAAATAATGCCAACAATGAGAGCAATGATGAGGATACTCCCAACCACAACTACCACAATGATGATGGTGTTGGTTGGGTCTGTAAAATAAAAAATTTTAATCTGTATAAAAATAAAACAATCAGCAGACACTGTAGTCAAGGTACTCACCATTTTAGTGATTTAGCTGTTGCCCATTTTCAAAAATGTGTGTCTGTGTGTGTGCATGTGCAAGCTGACTTTTCTGTGTTTGGATGTAAAAGCTGGGATGATCCAGGCATTTTAAAGATTGTGTGTTCAGAAAGAATTTAAAAAAAGTAAAGGATCCTTCAAGATGCCAACAGGTGTACTGGGTATACAGTGCTAGATAAATATATTTTATAGACTAACTGGCACTTCGTGGGTAATGTGGTCAATCGCACGCCGGCTGCCATTACTTCCCAGGACGTAAAGTTTGACAGCAATTTTAAAGTAAAAGCTGGAAAAATGTAGATACTTTAAAGAGAATGTTTTTAATTATTGAAAGTTGTTTTCCAGTTGTTAAAAGCTAAAGCCACATTGTCGAGACATTCCATAGATTGTGTTTTCCAATTGTCGAAAGTTAAAGCCACACTGTTGAGACATTACAAAGATTGTGTTCTCCAGTTGTTGAAAGCACAATTTAGGACAGTCAAGACCTTTAATAGATTATTAATGAACAACTGCTACCTGGTGGCACAACAGAACAAGCCACATCATGTAAGGATACTTGAGTCTGTGTCCTGCAAAGTGAGCAGTGAACACCCATTCTCACTGATTCTAATAATTTTTGGCACATGGTATTAGACCTCCATGTTTATTGTACTTATGACATTCACACCGTCATCACCTTAGACCACCTTGCATAATCTCATCAGTATTAAATCATTGGCATCATATTATCACGGGGCTGCTTGGTCTCGAGGTATGGTGTCCGCCTCGAGTGCTAGAGGTTCCAGGTTCAATCCCCGGTAAGGACTAGGATTTGTTCATGTGGACTTGGACTTCTAGTAATTCCCCCTGGTCTCTAGGTAGTCAGATTGGACACCCGTGTGCATTGTTGCGCACGTAAAAAAAAACCTTGGCAGATGGAAATCGAAAAGAGTAGCCTAACCGTGCTGCCCGGGCAAATTTTGGAGCTAAAAATCTACAGAAAGTATTTCAGTATCCTCGCCGGTGCTACACGGCCTATACACTGTGCTGAGCGTCTTCGGACTCAGATTGGAGTTAAAAGAAGAACGGAGCAAGTATGGGTGACAACCCATGTGCCATGATGTTGATCTTTTGTTCAAAAACCTCATCATACTATCAGTCCTTCCCTGCTTCCTCTGCAGCTCATCTCTACAGTTTATCACAATGGTCTCCATAAACTCCCTTCTCATCACATAGGTAAGTAGGTAGTTTGTAGAGCACAGCAAAACAAAGTTAAGGACTCCCCCTTCCCCCGCCCATTTGTTTTGGTAGTTTTAAAAAAAAATTAAGAAAATTTTATTACCATCCTTATCTCCCAACTGTGCGCTGGTTCCGTTAACTGACTGGCCACCTCCAAGCGTTGTTGGTGTTGTTGGTATTGTTGTCGTTGTGGTTGTCCTCTGTGTGGTGGTGGTCATCACTATAAGGTCAAAGAAAGTGAAGACAATCAAAATACCAACAAAGGGGCAGTGGAGGGCACTTACCATATTTTTGTGATAAGTAAAGTAAAGTAAAGGTCTCTTCTCAACGCCTTTAGGCGTATAGGGCATATAGGGCTAGACCTATATTTTTATAGACCAATCGGCACAAGATGGGTGATGTGGTCAGCATCACGCCGGTCGCCTTTACTTCCTGGAATTGCACCCGGTCCCCACTCAAGGCTGGGTCGACCTGGGTGCCAAGGTCATTTATGAAAAAAGTTTGGCTCCACCGGGAAGCAAGTCCACGACCTTCCTATCCGCACGTGAGTGTCTAGCCGCTACGCCACAGCGAGTGTATATATGTGATATGTGAAAATATTACAAGAATAAAACACACTGAACCTTATATGTCAAATAACAACAAGAATGTAATTCATTCATCAGCTGCCAACCGCAGCAGAAAGTTCTAGTTCTTGGTCTACTTCTGGGCTTTGCTTTTCTTCCAGAGCTCGACTTTTGCGTACACATCCGTTTTTTAAAACGCGACTTATTTGTATACAGACTGTTAGTTCCTTGCCTCTCAGGCAGATGTGCTTCAACTCAAACTCCTCCTCCAATATTTTGTTTATGTGATTTGATACTTGTAGAAACTAATGTTGTGTTTTTCCAGTTACATATGGTATTATTTCGGTTGGTAGTTGAGGTTAAACCCTCAAATCCTTTGCCAGTGAAAATCACTCAAACTGCCCTTTCTGGTCGCATCTGAACACTAGTTAAACAATTCAGTATAGAATTCTTTTCACACCATTTTGACACCTTAGGCGTGTAGTTTTTATATTTACACAGATCAAGCAGCAATCAGTGGGTGATGCGGTCAAGATTGTGCCTGTGCCAGTCATCTTTACTTCCCAGAACATTCCCTAGTACCCATTTTAGACTGGGTCATTGAACGTTAATTCTGAAAAATTAAAAAAATATGCCTCCATGCAGATCTAAACCCCAGATATTCGGCCTGGCAGGTGAGCATTTAATTGCTATGCCATGTGTCTCCCAAACAATTAGTCCCAACAATATCCAGAAACGTTCCCATGCTGTTAATGCATTAGGCACCTACTAAAAGTGCCAACATCAACTGTCTGTTATTAATGGAAAAAAGTCAGCCACAACAAGATGGTCATGCACAAGCAAATGTATTGCATAAGGCACATCACCACAATTATTTGTATTGACCTCGCATTTTTTCCCCAGTATGACTTTGGCAGCATCAGCTATTTAGTGCAGAGTGGTCTATAACATGTCACTACACAACATGCCTTTAACTCTTTCAGGCCCATGAATTTTGACAGACTTGGCCCACACTAATTTAGCTTTACAAAAGTGACAGAGGGGTGGGTGTACAAGAAGGGCAATAGAGAATGTAATAAACTTCTAATCCTAATAAAAGGATTTCCATATTTAAAGAGAAATGAATGTACATTTTGAATCTGATGATTAGTGTATGTTTTATGTTTGTATAGTTAGTAGGGTCTGAGAAGAGCTGTAGGAGTGACCATAAGAGATAAGATCAGGAATGAGATCATAAGAGAAAAAGTCGGCACAGAACCAATTCTGGATTACATACGAAGACAGCAAGTGAAATGGTTTGCCCACTTAGAGAGAATGCCTTGTGACACCACACCAAACAAAGCATACATGGAAAGAGAAGAAGGACGTAGAGCAAGAACAATATGAAAGGATAACATCAGAGAAGCTCTACAACAGCACGATGTGCCTATGGTCGAGGCGGCCAGAAGAGCCAGAAACAGAACCATATATCTCCCTCGACACCCACAGGGGAAGTGAAGAAAAAGAAGATAGTAGGAAAGAAGAATTCAGCAGGTGTTAATTTCACAACAACATTTTACAAACCAATTCTTCACTTACCATGATTTTGCAGCCACAAGAGTAGTGAATATCCAAATTTGAGAACAAAACATCAAAGTTTGTTCAATTTCTTAACAGATTCCAAAGTTATGATAAGTTTCTGGGTTAGTTCAGCACTCAGGAGCTCTTAGTTCTCACAGAGTGCTGAGAAAAAATGGCTGAAAAATGGGCCATTACACACACGCTATTTACTCTGTACAGTTATATACAGACTGTAACTGCAATGATTTTAATGTAGCTTAGCCATAGTATAGTACAATCTCTTTGTTTAGAGCACTTTCCTTCTCTTACACCATAAATACGGTAGCAATGGGACATTGTCTGTGTAATAAACTCATCAGAATCACTAGATTCAGAACAGCTGATTGCTCAGCTTCGCTGGTGAAAATGCCCAATGCGAATCAATTTCGGAAAAATCTACATTTTCATTATCATTATCAGAATTAAAAACACTTGATTGAAAAAATTTCAGAGCTTCGGCCGCAGAAAGACGCATTCTGCGACCTGTACTTGTGGTTGGAACGTTGGTATTCATGGCACTTGAAAACGAACTTAGAAAACGCACTGTTTAAAAAAAATTTTGCTTTTTATCCTATCAAATTTATGCAGGGGTGGTTTAGGCTAGGAAATGGAGCTAATAGGATTTCAGCAGACTGACTTTCCCCGAACAGTTTAATCCTACCTCCGAACATTATAAACTAGTACAGAGCCGTGTGCGAAGTAAAATGTACGGGACACACGATCAACGATGACAGCGTTATTTGGACAAAACAGAACTTCTCAAACAACGCTCACATCATTGCTTGGGCCTCAAAGAGTTAAGCAGAGAAAAGGTTGCTTCATTTTTTACTCGGATCTCCTAAGTTGACAATAATTCTTACAATACATTAACAGACCAACTTACAAACTTGAACTGTGATCTCCTTTGTTGCAGAGTAAGTCCGGCCCAAGACTTTATTGCTGGCGGTGCAGCTGTGGAGGGGAGAAGATGTTACAATCAACAAGATGCTGCTGCTGGTGTGGGGTAAACCCAGATTAAGCAGAGACAAGAGTGAAGTTACAGAGATAGGACTAATGTAATAGAGATACGACCAGTGTAAAAGAGACAGGACTAATGTAATAGAGATACGACCAGTGTAAAAGAGACAGGATGGATACCAGTGTAAAAGAGACAGGACGGATGTAACAGAGATAAGACTGGTGTAAAAGAGACAGTACGAATGTAACAGAGATAAGACTGGTGTAAAAGAGACAGGACGGATGTAACAGAGATAAGACGTGTAAAAGAGATAGGACCGATTAATAGAGATAAGACCAGTGTAAAAGAGACTGGATGGAGGTAATAGAGATAAGACTGGTGTAAAAGAGATAGGACAGATGTAATAGAGATAAGAAAGGTGTAGCAGACAAAAGACTGATGTAACAGAGATAAGACTAGTGCAATGGAAAATAATAAAGTTCAACAATTAACAATCAGCAAATATGTAGATAAAGCATATAGACCATGGTTTTCAGGTGAACGAAAGAAGAAGAAGATCATGGTTCTGTCCATTAGAGTAGGATCAGGATTCTTAGTAATGCTTCGCAGACAGACCAGTGACGAATACTTAATGACCACTGATAATTTGAGCCTAGAAGTAGAGGCAGTTACTGTTGTTCTTTAATGGTCACACAAGTCTATTAGCATGACAGTCACCACTCTGTCCTTAGACAAGTTTTCAGAAGAAAATGTGTGGCTGGCTCTGTTATGGATGGTTGTTGTTTGCAACTTTCAGTGTGCTCACTACCCAGGCTATGCAGGAGTCTGGGATAATGAGTGAGAGGGTGATAAGCTGGTAAAGAACATCATCACTCATGGAGATACTTTGAACATAAGTACAAATAATGTGTCTCCCATATATATCTCAAATGAATGAACATGATTCAGCTATCTGGCATCACTCACGACAGTAGCAAGAATAATCACAGGTTTAGGCACAAATGTAATCAACATGCAATAGGAATAATCAGCATTCCTGGGTCAGGGAGGAAATCAAGGATACGAAGCACATTTGGGTGCATCCAAAGCGCTCTGACATGGCTTACCATCAATCTTCTTCAGCCTTCCGAGCCCTTGGGGTTCACTGTTGCAGCTATCACCCGTCTTCTTCATTTCTCTGTCCAGCTGGTGACTCTGAGGGTTTGTAGGTCTGCATGAATATTATCTCTCCAGTCATCTTGGTCTGCCTTATGATTTACTCCCAATCAACTCTTTTATGTATGCAGTCTTTCTGTCTCTCTGTTACCTGCCATTTGTTCTATATATTAGTATTGGAGCTCTTCGCTGGCTGCTGAAGATGGAGATGGTGCGCTTATGTGCGTTCTATATACCCCAACCACTGAGGTATGTTAGCCCTCACAATGCCAGTAATTACGTGCTTTAAACAGATTGGGAATTTTATTGTTACAACCAATGAGGTAAGGAAAAAATTACAAAGAAAATAAATGATTAAAGTAGCACTCACGTGTATTTCAATTCCTGGCCTCCATAAGAAACCAGATTTCCCAAAACCAGTCGAGACATATCACCGATCAAATCCCCGGGAGATGTGTTGTCCACATCAGTGCTGTTGTCACCAACAACTTGAGCCCAGGTATACTCAGGGGCAGGTAAGCCTGCAGCCTTGCAGGTCAGGGTTAGGGCCTTGTCCTGATAGACCTCCCCTGGGGGGTCAGAGTCCACATTCATGCTGGTTTCATTGACACCATCTGCAGGCAATAAAAGGATGGATCACTTACTTTGCAAATAAGCAACAACAACAACAAAACCAACAGTCATGCACAATAACTGCCAAAAATAGCTCTTCAGAAATTAAATATTCCAAACCACACCATAAATTTAGTTGTGTGTCCTTTACTGGATGTTGCAGAACCAATTCCAGCATTTTTGCGGCGTTTCTAGACAAATTTACATTCAGCAGTTTGCCATTGCTTTCTAAAAGGTCAGCTCCTGATTCCACTGTCGAAACCAACACAAGGCAGCCTGCTGTCAAACTGTCTGCAGTTTGGATTGAACCCTGCACCCCAACATTAAGAAGCACCTTTGCAACACCCAAGCGACAAAGGCCGACATGACAAAATAAAAAACAATAACATAAAATGCAATTTTATTATTTCAATCACTAAAAACAAATATATTTTCCTATTACAACAGGATTTTTAAATTTAATTATTCAATATGTTTTGTTGTCGCTGAAAAGAGGATAGTTACAATAAAGCACAAGTGCATCTGCAGGACTTTCAAAGATGCAAGAATGCACTGCATGGGTAAAATCTCTAGCCAGATTTCCTTAGTACAATGAAGCCAAACGTAAAAGATATAATGAAACACTGTGTACTGCACAGTAACACAGATGATGGCTTGCACAGAAGAAAAAAAAAGGTTCAGTGTTTATTATTTTTTTAAAAAGTGTACAGACATGTAATAATTATTCACTGAGACATCAATACCTGTTTGCAAAAATCCTGATTTCAATAACAACTTTCCAATACACTGGCCAATGTACAATCTTGCAAATGACCCCACATCCAATTTGGCATATGTTTAACCACATTCAATGAGGCAATTTTTTTTACTAAACACAAACTGGCAAATATTTTCTACACCGAAGCTGACAAATGTTTTCCCACATCGAAGCTGGCTAATTTCCCCCCACAGCCAAGTTGATACAAGTTCCCCAACACTCAAACCAACAAATATTTTCCCACACCCAAACAGGAAATGTTTCCATACATCCTACCTGGAGATATCTTCCCATATACAATCTGACATGAAGGTGTATACCTCATACAATTTTGCCGAAGTGTGCCAAATATAACCTCTAATGTATAATAAGAATATGCTCTTCCGATCAAACATGCCATGCACAGCCTGATGAATCCATCATATAAAATGACAAGCCTGATTGAAACATCAAAAACAACTTACAAACAATCCTAAATGGCGGTGTATCGGCACATAAATCAGTGCTTGGGGTCTGACAAACGCCTGGCACCTGGGTCTGAAAATCATCATTCTGAACAAAACAGGTAATCGTTAGATTCTGGTCAGCTCTGCTAACAATCATGCTGAAAGTCTGTTGTACCCGCTGTGTGCAGCTGCCTTCACCTGCCTCCAGGGAGACTGAAATAAGTTCACACACAAGCTTTATTAAAAAGTTACAAGATATTCTAAAAAAAAACTAAGCGGTGAAAGAAAGATTATAGGGGGAAATGTGTCTCCCAAAAAGGGATGTCTAAGGAGTTAAAATATTTATGTTAAAGTGTTGTCCCTGTTCGGGTATCTGGCCCAGATTTAGGGGGATGTCATGGACCGATAAGGGAAGCAATACATTTAAAACAAGAATAGCAACAGTTACTGGACTTATATCGGACCATGAGAAAGTATCTATGTGAAGACACAGGGAAAGTAACAAGGATGAGGGACCTGAAAGCTAGGAATAGACAGGTTTGGGCATTTGCAGCATGTTTATTTGTGAGATAGCTAAGTAGAATTGCAAAGCGACAGTACGTTTTCATAGCCGTGGTATTTCATCTTCCATGTTCACCTTTAAAAGTATGGTTGGCAAATGGTGATGTGGTTTACAGCTAGGCTATGATATCTTAGCCTTTCGGTCCAACACATCAGATTTCAGCAAATTTCCAATTAGTTGCCATTATGGTGCTCATGTTAGGGGCAGTGGAACTGTTCTTCCCCTCCCCCTCCTCCCACCAAAATCTGGAACTGAATCCCATATGGGGCCAGAGATGACAGGGAGGAGGGTAAGATTTGATAGCTTTCATTCTTTTTAGCCATCTGACATTTTTGGAATGTATGCAGTGTTTTCTCTACAGCTTCACCATTACATTTATATATTATAGCCATTAAATCTAGCCGCTTCAGCGACAGAGTCCGCAAGTCTCTTGAGAATCACTTTATTTACACTTTGGGGACTTTAACACCCTCCGGACTTAATTGTCAACACAGTTTTATTTAACCCCTAGGGGACTGAACTGCCATAACCCCCTGGTTATGGCCCTGGTACTCCACAGAAGGGTATTTATTCCCCTAGCCTATGCGTGTAGTCAGTCTACTGAGAAACCATCGACCTGGCTGCTTCAAGATACCAGCTAAATGATTTTGTGTATTTGTGTAGTATTGTTATGTATGTGCTGATGGAAGCTCCACAGCTGCAACGTTCACATTTTGTTATATTGTGAAGCTTGCTAATATACTTTTCGTTCAGTTTAATATCTTTTCTTCACACTTATAAGGGATTATGCCTATAGTAAACAATGTTATAGATCTTCTAGCCAGATAATTAGCATTAATTACCATTGTTCATTGCACCGAGTCTTGGATCTGTAGCTGGGACAACCTCAGGAACACCGCTGCGGTAAATCTTCCACTGTAGGCTTCCACGGCCTACTAGCCCCACATTTGAGGCACAGACCACACTGATGTTGGAAAATTCTAGAAGGCTAGTGTTGGTGTTTGGTGGCAACCTAATTGTAGGGGCCTTGGGACGAGCTGAGGGATTAAACAAAATATAGTATTAGCAATCTTAACAAATTTATAACGAATTTCATTAGCTAGCCGTTCTGTGGAGAGAGAGAGAGAGAGAGACTGAGCCATATGGGACAAAACCCAGTGCAATCAAGTCGATCATCTGGACTTAACTTTAACTAACTGTTAACTCACTTCCAGCATCCAGCTTGTTATATACATCAGTTCACTACCAAATGGTGAAAACCAGCCAGTCTATCTGCCTGTTAAATTTCACTGGTATACCCTAGAGAAAATATGCAAAACATGCTAACTACCTGGAATGGTTGAAGCTATGTTTGGAAGTCTGCAAGGAGCATACCTGTCTTCACCTTTCGCAACACGCTCTGCGCTTGTATAGTTCTCAATCCTGCATAAGGCTTTAGTGACTTCCTCCACTAGAGATCAGAGAATCCCTAGGGACAGGGGCAACAAAGGCTAAGAGGTCATGGGTTAAATTCACTTACTGTGCTGTTTGGTTCACGCAAGTCATCCCTAAGTATCATCGCTGGAGTTAGGGAGTTGTGCTTCTTTGAGGCCTACTTGGCTATTATCGGGCAGGCACGGTTGTTATGACTGGTTCGGCATTGGACAGACGTGATGTCATCAATACCACTTACATTACTTACAGAAAAAGCAAAATACGAAAAAGGCCATAAGTCATATCACTGTCCAGGCTGAAAAGTTTTGGGGGTGGGGGTGACCTGGAACTACACGAAATGAACATTTTACAGAAGAAACAAGAGATCTCATTAACCAATCAGTAGTTTTATACTTGTGGAGCTACCAAGGAGATCAAAGCTCCCATGAATCTGTTCAGAGAGATATGATAATCCGCACTAAAACTAACCCTGACAACCAGCTAGACATTACAGTACAATCCCCGTGTGGGTTCGGGAGCGCTTTTATAGGGAAAACAAGAACAGATCCACTGTCTACCCAACAGCATGTCGTAAATGTCAACTAATTGGGAGCTTCCTTCGAAGCCGGAGTGCATCTGCCTGAGAGGCAAGGAACCAACAGTCTGCACGCAAATGAGTCAGATCTGTCAAACGGATGCACATGCAACACTCAGGTTCTGAAACAGGACAGCAGTCCAGAAGTGGACGAACAACCATAACTTTCCGCCAGAGTTTACAGCCGGTAAACGCAAAGAAGAAAACATTACAGCACAACGAAGCCACCCTTTGCGACTTTAAAATCATACAGCTCAGTGTGTTAACCGGTAAGGACTCAAATACACGTTTATGTATGCCAGAATTATACATCTCATATTCTGTCCCAGTTGAAATGTAATCCACATAAATAACTGGTAAACCCCTGAGATAACTGACAAAATAAACACTCATATTTCACAGTTGCTGACTTATGTGTACCTTCATATTCTTCTTAGCTTTCACCTGCTGTACATTCCTGGGAAAAGTTCTGGATGTTTGTCCAGTCTCTGACTTTGATCTTGATCCAGAAAATGGATTTCCATGCTTATTTATTCATTTTACAAATCTGGAATATTGATAGGCAGAAAGTTGGTCCTTGCCGTTCAGACTAATTCTGAAGGAAACACTGAGCCCACACAGGGAGTTTGTGTATACCAGGGACCTTGCTAATGACAACAATTGTTTGTTATGGGTCACTTGCTGGCCATGTGTTAAAGTACTTCTGAAAAGGAGGTGTACTCACCTGGAGGTGATAGGTTTGATACCATTCAATCTGTATCCTGTCTAGTCTGTCCTGTCTCTACTTCTTTATTCTACCTATGATTGCCAACCAACGAGTTAATCATATGCCTTCTCCACAAAGAAGGTTGTCTGCATGGTATCTCCAACATACACTGATGTGCACACTCTCAGACCGCTGTTCATCCGTCTTTTAATGTTATCCTCCCAATTGTACCACTGTCTGTCTTTTGCTTGCTTGCCTTAAACTTTTCCCACAAATACGCTCTTTATAAGAGTGTTATGTTGTGTTGTCGGCGTCTGTGGCTTAGGCGTTGCGAACACGCTTCGTAATGCTGAGGTGCAGGGTTCGATCCCAGCTCGGGCCTTACTTTGGTTTTGACAGTGGTATCTAAAAGCCTACCATCCAGAGAGCAATGGCAAACTACTGGACGCAACAGCCAAAAAATGCTGGGGTTGATTCTGCAACGTCCTGTAAAGGATACGCAAGTAAATTTTTTTTTAATGTTGTGTTAATGTGGCCATTCAACCAACTGGCCTCTGAGTTAACTCACTCAGTTGAATAACCCTGTGCTAGAGTATTCGACCATCCTTCATGTGTCCGTGTAACATTACATCAGACTATATTATTCCTAATTCACTGTGGACTTATGAATCATCCAACAAACTTATCAAACACTGAATTATGATATTAATATGATCAAACCTACCTTTCACTGTCAAATAGGATGTTTTTTCGTAACTGACAGCTCCGGAGCTTGGCAGTGCATACGTAAAAAAACATGAATAGTTCCGATCATCAGCACACTGCACATTTGTAATTCTCACAACCGCACGCTGACTGCTGACATTAAAACTGTCAGCGGATGTTCTGTTATTGCTCTGGCTGCCTGGGATGGCAAATGAAATTCCGTTATTGAACTGAAAATAGTAAGGACTTGCGCCAGAGGGAACAGGTAATGACCGCAGGATAACATTAACAAATGCTTCATTCTGCGATAAAGTCCAGCTGCATGTGATGGTAACATTGCTTCCAATCTCCTCGTCACCGGTGATGGAAATCTCACCTTGAAAAGCACTGACCAGCCCTGTGAAAAAAATAGCAGAATTCAGAAAAAAATATTTCCACAAAACAGATTACTGCATTTGGTTTTCAGAATTATTTTTTTTTATCTTAACAAATAAAATTATGACTGATTTCATTCAATTAAAAAGAAACAAAGTGTACTTATTCAAATTACGGGACTCCCTATTAGTGGGTGAACAATCCACCATTCCCTATTAGTGGGTGAACAATCCACCATGGCGAATTCAGCTTCAAAATAATAGAAGACTCGATGCTGTTAGCTCCACCATACATCAGGTTTATTTACAACACAAGCGGGTAGTTACAAGGCTCCACACTGACAATACTTTATCATCAGAGACGTAAACATTGATCCTAATTGGCATTCAAACATAGTCCTCGCTCTCTCTCTCTCTTTTAACTTGTAGCAACCTCTCCCAGACCACTACAGCTCGTCCGCCTGGTCAAAGGTCTGGAGTGAGTGGCATTACAACATGAAATATTTGGGGGAGTTATTGGGATAGATCCCTTGTTACACACAGAGAGCTCCAAAGATTTCCATAGCAAGATGAAGAATTCTTTTTACAAAAGACAGTGAAGTTCATACCAGAGACAACATTGCAGATACAGATAATATATTTGAAGCAAAAGAAAGAAGAAGAGGAAGATGAACTTTTCAGACACAGCAGGCTGAGAAAATTCCCACACAATCCTTATAGAGTTACAAAGTGGATAACCAATGGCTTTACAAAGGCCATAATATATCCACAATTTCTATCCTAAGTACATCCCCAAAAGGTGTGAACCAGACAATGTTTTAAACATTAATACCACCTCCCCCCCCCACCCCCTTCCCACCACAAAAAACCTCTTTGTGGTTTCAGGACACCATTTTGGGAACAAGGAGTAGGGGGAGAGGTGGGGGTGGGAACAAGGAGTAGGGGGAGAGGTGGGGGTGGGAACAAGGAGTAGGCGGAGAGGTAAGGGTGGGAACAGACACAATGTCTACCTAGCAAACTTGTACAAGATAAGTAATTAAGGGTGTTTCCTTCAGAGTGCATGCTCTGTCTTAGATGTGAGGAACCAACAGTCTGCATACAAATAAGGCAGTTCTACAAGTTCTAGAACAAGACCACAGTCCAGAACTTTCTGCCTGAATGTTGAATTAAGAATCGACATCACAGCACTCGGGACACCCCCATAAGCGCTCCATTCCCATCCTCAGCAGCAAGTGAAGGTTAACTTTCTGCCAGAGTTTACAGCCAATGAAGGCTAAGAAAAAGAAGAAAAATGATGATATGATACATGAAGTAACAAATACATACTATTAGAACCTGATTAACATTATACGCCCCAATTGTAACCATGGGGGGCTGACATGGATACTTCTGTGAAAACTGGCACTCACTAGACAAGACTGGTCAGAAGAACAATCCTGACTCTAACACAAGAGAGTGAACCTGGGATAATACCTTGGTAGAAAGTACACTAATCACTTTTTATAGAAAGTAGTAGTAAAGGCAAACTTTTTGTGTGTCTGCCAAAGTCATAAACATCATTCAAAAACTACAAATACATTCATTAAAAAACCCTTTTAAAAAAATGTCTAAAAGTGTGACTTCCAGTTACAGGGCTACAGTTTACGATCTTCTTCCTTGATAAAGACTTGTGTCTTGTCAAAATTGTCTTCTTCCTTGATAAAGACTCATGTCTTGTCAAAACCTAACGTGTTTAGCAATATAAAATTTTACACTGGGTGTACAAAATGTTAATAAAAATAAATTTGGGCAACACAATTTTAGTCAAACAATTTTAATAACTACATTTGCCTTAGCCAAATGATTTTACTCGGGTCCAATGTTAATAATATCAAATATATACTAACGCTGCTGGTTATTAATACCACCCATAGTGTGCACAAAGTAACAGAATAACAATTACGTGGACTACTACTATAGACACTAAAATTTGTCAAATCATGTGTTCTCACACTTAAAAAAATACACTGAAAACAAACTCCGGCATGGATCAACAAGCATTTTAACATGTGGCCTTACATTTCCCATGTCTTTATGATTTTATACTTTACACTTGCACAGGTGCTGCTTTTGTCTTAAAGTGGCAAAGTTCTTTGATCTTTGTTACACTAATAGTTTCTGTACCCCTAAAAATAGAATACACAGTAAACTCACACAGCATGGAGATTGTCCTCAAATGCAAATCAATCAGTTCTGAGTTCACATGTGAACTTATTTATAATTTGGGACCATTATTCGGAAGATAGCCGAGCATTGTTTCGTTATTCGGAGCCGATCCTAGTTTTGCCGCGATTTGTTCCGTGGCAGAAAGTCCGCATTTTACACATGACTGAGGCCCTATTAGGCTATTTGCTTGGCCGCCATAATATCGGGTACAAGTTTGGAGGAGAGCATGATTTCTGTTAATGAATGTTTACATTGTAATGAAATGAATTCTTGCTTTTACCAGCCACTGCATGCCAAATTTAAGCAACTTATAGTTTATACCGAATAGTTACCCTACTGAGTTAGAGATGTTTAAAGTTAAGCATGACTTTTGGAACGGACTTAGTAACACTCAAAGAGCCCATTAGTTGTTAGTTGACTTACTGCTCCCAGGAAGTCAACTCAATGACGACAGACGACAATCGCATTACCCCAACCTATTCTACCTTACCTCCCGTTCTCGTGTGTCAAAGGTCCCACTTTACTATTGCTTATACCAACGAGCACCGCCATCACAGATAGTACCGTTTAAACCAATTCTGTCCCGCGCCGTTGTTATTTCAGTGTAATAATTATTATAATTATATTCTTCTTCTTCTGCCTTTTTATCCTATAATGGAGCATAGGCCCTCAACCAACTCACGCCACGTCGTTCTATCCTTCGCCATTACATGGAGTTGTCCCCATCTGTCTAACTTCATTCTCCAGCTCTCTTCTCCGTGTGTGTGGTTTTTTTTTTTTTTGCCTTCCTTTATTCCTATGCCCCTGTGGGTTCCAATGCAAAGGCATTCTAGCTATGTTGTTTTCCTGTTTTCTCAGTGTGTGTCCTATCCAACGCCAGCGTCTTTTCCTCCCTTCTTGGTCTACTAGAGCCTGTTTAGTTCTCTCCCAAAGCTCTACATTAGTTATTCTATCATACCATTTAATTCCATCTATTCTGCGCAGGCACAAGTTAATGAATGTTTGTTATTTATTTGCAATTGCCTAAGTTGTTCTCCATGTTTCCGCCCCATACAAAAGTACTGATTTGACGTTAAAATTAAAAAAAATTAGTTTAGTATTTTTTTTTAAATTTCTCCTGACCTCCACAAATTCCCTAGTGCAATGAAAGCTCCTCTCGCCTTTTGTATTCGTATTTTAATATCTCTATCAGTTCCTCCATCTTTATCTACATTACTGCCCAAATAGGTGTACGACTCCACGTCTTCGAGTGGGGTGCCATCAAAAGAAACCACATTACTATTTGCCTGATTTATTCTCATTATCTTTGTCTTTCCTTTATGAATTTTCAGACCAAGCTGCCGTGATCTCGCATCAAGTATATTTAATGTATCTTGCATCTGATTCCATGAATGGGACAGAAGATAAATATCATAATATATAAATTACTCGATTTAAATTACAGGTTTTTTTCTCTTATTTTAGAAGCCACCAAAATAAGTATACAGAACACTTCACCCCGGGAGCAGGCTGGGAATCTTTTTGCTCTTCTTTGCGTTCACCAGCTGTAAACTCTGGCAGAAAGTTCTGCTTCTTCGTCCACTTTTGCACCGTGCTCCTGTTCCAGAGCCTGAGTGTTGCGTGTGCATCTGTTTTACAGATCTGACTCATTTTATGCAGACTGTTGGTTTCGTGACTCTCAGGCAGATGCACATTCACTTAGAATGAAGCTCCCAATTTGTCGATTCTTATGACATGCTTTTGGCTAGGCAATGGGTATATTATTTTGGTTTTCCTGTAATGGCGCCCCGAAACCAATACGGGGAGCAGCCCGTTTTAGTTTGTCCCTTCAAGGATTTCCATCTGCAAGATTAGTATCTCAAGTATGAGAATCCTACATATACAGATCCCGTTCATGTGAAACATTATATATTATGGCCTATGCTAGCTACCAAAGATTCTCAGAATATCTTGGACAAAGAAGATGAGAAGTATTGACATCTTAAAAGATCTGAACATCAAGGAAGATTGTCTAATAAACAGCATCCTTTCTCGAAAGCTGAAATATTTTGGTCATATCAAGCGCCACAACGGATTGGAAAAAAATATAGCAGAAGGCATGGTACCAGGAAGGAGGGGCAGAGGCCGACCGACACGAAGATGGGCACAGGATATAAGTGACTCCTTGAGTGTGAAAGTTAGTGAGGCGGGAAAACTGGCAAGAGACCGTGTTTCTTTCAGGCAGACTGTGAAGAGAGCGACGTTCTGCAAAGGACCTGCTACATGATAATGATGATAGCTACCAAGGAGCTATATAACCGGACCAGTGTCGTGAAATTGCTCCAGTAGTTATAGTTTGTGAAAATTATGTCTGAAAACTGTAGTTAGAGGCATCTTCTACCCCCAACCTCTTTCCCTACAACTAAACCCCCACAAAATCAGTTGTTTTGGTAGAGCCCTTCCCAAGAATTATTTGGGCACTTTAGACAATACATTTAAAAGCTAACAAAGCGGCTCCTTTAACCGCGTTTTATCTGTGTCGACGTGCCTGCTATGGATGTCACTGACATAGAATGAGACATATATACATATGCATTGATCTGCACTGATAGAAATAATGGACACGAGTAACCAGAACAGAGAAGAATACAAGCAAAGAAAACAGTATCAGTTCATCGTCACCATCATGTAACCTCTCTTTAGCAGAAAGTTGCTCCAATCACTACCTCCAGAAAACAGTCCGACATTCTGTCAGTTTCTTTATATCCTACAATTTCACACTCAAGGCTGACGCTAATGTTTAGTGTTCACTTTAGAACCAGTCGACTTCTGCCTCTTC